TGGCACCACGATATGGGCATGAGTCTCAGAGTCGTTGGTTAGGGAGCGTATATGCATTGGGATGCATAGCTGGATATGATGGTTGAGGTGTACCCTGCTAGGTCTAGGTATTCATGCACACCTTTGGGTGCGTTTTTGCATGTTGCCTTCTACTCAGGTTGAGACCCCATTATAGTCCAGTGAAGGTCCTCTAGTGTGGATATATTTATGTATGGACTAGATAGATATTGTGAGGTATTTAGGTGTATCTGCGTATCGGGTCACTGTATGGATTGCAGTTAGATTAGAACTTGTTCGTGGGCCTGACCCACTCTTATTTTTCGGGTATCGGACGGTTCCAGTCTTAGGCTTGATCATGCTGTGCAGGGATTATCATTCATTCCACTGACGACGTAGGATGTCCTTCCATATTTTAGTATTTGGTTTTATGTCAGTTGTTTACGTTTCAGTTGAGATTTTTATTTAGGGGTCCACTAGATGGATTCCCGAGTTATAATTCATGGAAGTTTTGGAAGTTGGATTTTATTAAGTTTTATCAGGTTATTGAGGATTTTATATTAGTATTCTGTTCAGCTTTTAATAGTTATTCTTATTTCATTTTTTTTCATCTGTGTTCGTTTTAAAATACTTTAATTGTTTGATTTCCCTCGGGTTTAATATATTCATCTTTACTATAGTCGTGAGCAGAACTGTGTACTTCTATCTTTGAGAGATTTATTGTACAATTCATTTCTTTTCCAACTTATTGTAAAAGGGTTGGTGTGACCCAAAAGAAAGTCTAGGAGAAGGGTGTTCTCTTAGCAAGGAAGAGAAGCAAGGTCTTGCTTAAATTGAAGGTTTGCTCTCCACCATTAAGGAGAAACTCTAGTGATTTTGGGAAGTCTCAAGGGGGACCTTGAGCTGAGGAGTAGGAGTTTCCGAACCTCGCTAAATCGCCGAGTCATTGTTTGCAATCTCTCATCTCTATCTCTCTTATACTTGTGCCATACACTGCTTGAATATTTCAGTTTCTCTGTGATTAATTGTCTGTTAGATTTAATATTTTTAAATTACAAAAATTGGCCCTTGACTCTATTCACCCCCCCCCCCTCTAGAGTCAATTAGTGACTAACAACAAGGACATAGGAAATTAATCTTTTTTCTTTGAAATTATGTTGCAGCTCCATTTGTTATAGCTTGTTTAAAGTTAGGATGTTGTGGCATTTTGACTAGCAGTTCTGAATATTTACAAGTGTTTCTTATATAACTCTTTAATTTTAGTAAAAATTATAAGATACTCTTTATGCATGAGAAGACAAAATATAATAAATGTCTGAATTAACATACTAAAAATTGTGGTTTGGTTAATTCATATAGTTTTGTATGTGATATTACTTATACAGCAGGGTGTAAATACTTAATTATGAAGGTGAAGATTGTATTTTTTTTAATTTTTTTTATGCTTTCTTATTAATATACACACACGCGCCCACACACACACATATTATTTTCTCTATATTACACTTCAAATCAGAAAAACAGTATGGTGAATTCAGATAATTTCATATGTGCTATTACTTAAATAACAGGATGTGAATACTTAGTTGAGATGGTGAATGTACTTAGAGGAGATTTGCCGGTTCAACCAAATATCTATATATAATAGAGGAGTTGTAGATATACTTAGTCATATCAAACAAGCAGTGCATTTAATTATACATTTACAGCTAATGTTGTGAGTTATTACACAATTTCGTGTTCAACTAATCCTAACCTTCCACATTAATTGGCTATGCATATTGACTATATATCCAACATAAGTTCTTCCCTTTCTGGTAAACCAATGGTTAACCTTCCCCCAAAAGGTAACCAGCATACACAAAACAAGTAGTCTAAAAATGAAAATAGAAGAACTCCCACCGCCGTTGCTCAGTGAGGTGGTTAGTAGAGTGGCAGCAAATAATTTTCAAGACCTACTACAACTTCAACAATGATAAGGATTTAATTGTACATTATTGTTTTATGTTTATAATATTTTTTTCATTCACGAAATTTTTTGTTAAAAGTGTTTAAATATGTGCAGTTCTCATAAGCTAGCTATGGTGTGTTTGGAGCCACATATGTTACGACTTCTCAGTTTTAAATCCTTGTACGAAATACAAACGGGGGGGTACCAGTGATACTTACTATTTGCGATGCGTGTTCATGCAAAAGTGTGTTGATGATGGCAATATGGAGGCTATGTTTGTCTTCGGAGTGGTACGTTGCTTGCACTCACTTTACTAAATTGTGAAAGTAATTTAATCGGGTTTATTTTTAATAACTTTATGTTGGATGTAGGAGCTATTTTTCTTGCATCAAAATCGGGCAGATGGGCTAAGTATTCTAACCAAAGGTGCATATCTTCAGCATACTGGTTGTAAGTTTGCTTTAGCCATTGCATTAATACATGGCGATGATGCTGATAAAGTAAATGGTATTCAACAACTTTCGAACATGAACACAGACATAACAAATAAACTGATCATAAAACATCGGAGGGAACAAATGATTTCAATAGTGAAAAGAGGGTGGTCAAATGGGTTATTTCATAACATTCTTGCTTGTTGTGAGGAAGATTTTGGACCACCGAACTATGAAGGTGACATGGTTCACGTCAAATGGTGGATGGTCGAGTGAATAAATGAGGAGAAAATAAAATATAATCTTTGCCATTGCGATCTCCACATATTGATGGTGTCTGGCATTATTGGAGAAAAAGTCATAGTCAACTGATGATAACCGTTGATGTCATTTTCTGTATGTAATGTGATGTTGTATTTAACTTTTGAAGTAACAAAATGGAACTTTTGGGATGGATAATTTAATTAGCACTGTCTAACATAAAATCGCCATATGCAAGAGGCAATTAAGTATCGCCATCATTGGAGAAAATAGCCAGATGCCATTCACGGAACCATGTCACCTTGAAATTAATGGTTTCAACCTGTCCCAAATCACAAACAAAATGGACTAAACAATATATGTACACATACATATTTCAATTGACATAAATAGGCTTGAATAAAAATCCATTTCATTTTCTATATATACAAAACCCAAAAAACAAAAGTGAACAAGTTATCCATACATTTACAAATCTTTACTCAAAAAGGGATATATTTTTTATGCCACCATATTCTGTTATCATCCATCAACCATAGTATACCTATACACCATCAATTTGTCAAGAATTTCTTAACTCAAAACAAATTTTGCCGAGCTGGAGGATTGATCTTGGATGTTGTCTCCTCCGATATTGGCATCAAATTACGGTCACCACTGGTGTGATCAACATCCTTAAAATGGATCATACAAAAACAATGTTTGTACATACGTTAATTAATGCAAAGTTAAAACATACATGTTTAGAATATATTGCAGAAGCATAAATTTTATAAGAGATAAACTTACAAGATAATCTGAGAATCGGCACTCATGATACGAAACAAATGGAGTCCCCTGCCAATATATTCTCAATGTTCATTAACTAATGGATTTCAAAAGTATGAAATAATGTTCATTAATTTTTATATACCTAGTTCAGAATAAAAGTTTGTTTATACCTGTTGAGTTGGTGGAGTCCTGGGATGACTGAAGTTAGTGGTAGGGCAATATGTCATTTGGTCGATATTTGTTTCCGAATGTAAACGTGCACATGGGTGATGATCTTCGTAAATCCAAGTGGCGTCGCTAGGAATGTCACAACCCTTATTTCAATATAAACATTCTTAATTAAGAGATTATCATACTGAAAATTATAATAATATATAAAAAATAAAAAATCAATGTTTTCATTTAAGAAAAGGAGAAAACTCACATTCAAACGTACATATGTAATAGGTGCCACGGTATTACTGCCACCTACACCTGCACTAACGCTGTTGTTGCCATTTGATTTCTACAAAATAATAGATTTATTCATTGTAAAAATAAAATTATGACATTGCTAATATCAAAATGTTAATGACATATACTGGAAAATTAAATTATCAAATAATAAAAAATAAATTAAATTAACCTTTCGTTTCGCATAGTTTTTTTTTCTCTGCATGTATTGTTCAAACTTATTCTTCTTCTTGCGCCTTGGTCCCTTACCACCTGTTTCTTTATTCTTTATACTCTTGGCATTACTTCCGGTCACGGCTTGCCCAATGATACTTTCATTATGTTCATGATTATTACTTTTTTCAGTTGAAAAAACTGAATTGGTTGCCTCTTGTTCAACATCGAAACATTGCCTTTCAACATTAATGTGTTTCCTTTTCCATTTCATCCCCTTTAGCATCAAATTATTGAATACCTCTTCTTTCTCGGATGCAAATGAGCTGATTTCTGTAAAAAAAACAATGACATAACATCCTATACCTTCTGCGTACTTCAAGTTTAGGATCAGCAATAACTTCACATCCACGGATGTCTTGTACGCTGTTATCCCTAGCTTTTCTCGTCCACCTTTTTAGTATATACATAGAAGGTAATTCTTTGAAATACTGAGTGTCGTCTTTCAGTACTTTAAGTACATGGCTGCACAAAATACCTTTCATTGCATATTTCTCGCACGAACAACTTAGAAAGCCATCATCCCACCTTGTCACAGTCCGATCCATACTGCCATCATGAACAGATACTCTAGAAACACGTAATCCATTTTCATCAAAACTTGTTCCTTCCACGGTAGCAACCACACAAGCTTCTATGAATTGGTCCTGGAAAAGTTCAAAAATCTTCAATGTGTACATATTGCCCACTTGTTTTAGAATGGGACAATTTTGTTTAAGTCTAGGTAGTTTACTGAGTAAACCATACTCAGCTTGATATTCCTTGTACCGTTTGTCTGACAATAGCCTGTCAAGGTGCATGAAGAAATCTGGAATACTCATTTTCCTGGTTAAGTACTCTTTCAAGCAGCTATTTAAACTTTCACTCAGCTGCGTTGTCCGCATTCCAGCGGTAAACCAATGTTTAACAAATGGATAACCCTATTTTTCTCTTAAACCCAACAAATTGTTCAACCATGTGTTACCAACAACATTGTAGTCCCTTAACATTACATCCCATTGTATACAAAAATCATCCTTATCATCATAACAGTACATGAATTGACTCAGCACACTTTTAATCCCTTCATCATTCCTAAAAATGGTGCCTACATGCTTCTGTGCATTTGCCATGATGTGCCACGTGCAAAGTAAATGTCTTGTCCTCGGCATAACTTGTGCCAACGCCTTTGCCATTGCACCATCTTGGTCAGTAAGAATCGTTTGTGGTGCTTTACCTAACATCACATTCAAGAATATATCAAAAAGGCATGTAAATGAATAGGCAATCTTATCATACATCATCACTAAAATTTTTAACAGTATTGAAAATTTGAAGGCGAGAACATTATGGCCCAATAAAATATCTTCATTTGAAAAAGTAATTCACATAAAAAAGGTAAAAAAGAATGGCCATGTTCAATTATTAAAGGCTGAAGTTGATCATGCCCTTTTTTAACCCTTCCTTTTATATATATATATATATATATATATATATATATATATATATATATATATATATACTTTTTCAATATGATTCTGATTTTTATGTAAATTACTTGTGGTTACTTGAGTGAGTTTATTGTTTGTAACTTGTAGCTCACCAGTAACTTAATCATATTTGAAGTCTACTACACTACCTGGAGATGTTAGAATCTTTGCTTCCCAAGGGTAGTAGGAACAGTCATTTATACCTTCCAAATACCTGTATATGTTTTCCTGAATACAAATACTGAATAATGCATTGACAATACTCGTGTATAAAGTACTAACTTTTTCTTGTATACATACATGTCCATTATGTGCACTCTCGGGTTGAGTTTGAGTTATATTTTAAAAAACAAGCAGAGAAGAATAATGAGATGAAAAGAGAAATAAAAATAAAAGGACTTTATTTAGGTAAGTCCCACAATCCACATTCTTTACATCTCCCACAACACCTTGTGTTGTTATTATTATTATTAAAGAGATATAAATTTTTTTTAAGACATAAAGAGTTATAATTTGAGCTAAATCATTTTAGTGTAAAAGATGTGAACAAAAAGAATAGAGGAGTTAGAATTCTTATTTTACCCTTGACATTTGACAAAATGAGTACAATAAAATGTTGCAACTATTTTTGTTTTTCTTTTCCATGATATAGAAACAGAAAAACAGAGATTATTCATTGTTCTCTCCTTGATAATTAACTTCTAATTAAGTAGGTGCAGCACAGATAATTAAATTATAATTTTAACCTACATGGAATCTTAAACCAATTCATTTTTTTTTTAACCAAATGCACTCTTCCAATCTTTCACCTCACACAATCCACATTCTTTACATTTCCACCTTCATCTCATTATTCTTCTCTGCTTGTGTTTTAAAATATGACTCAAACTCAACCCGAGAGTGCACATAATGGACATGTACCTACACAAGAAAAAGTTAGTATTTTATACACGAGTATTGTCAATGCATTATTTAGTATTTGTATTCAGGAAAACATATACAGGTATTTGGAAGGAATAAATGACTGTTGCTACTACCCTTGGGAAGTAAAGATTCTAACATCTCCAGGTAGTGTAGTAGACTTCAAATATGATTAAGCTACTGGTGAGCTACAAGGTACAAACAATAAACTCACTCAAGTAACCACAAGTAATTTACATAAAAATCAGAATCATACTGAAAAAGTATATATATATATAAAAATAAAAAAAAAGAAAAAAAAAAGGAAGGGTTAAAAAAGGGCATGATCAACTTTAGCCTTTAATAATTGCAAAAAGAAAAAAAAAAATTACATTTAGACTACTTACCTGACATTGCATTCAAGAATGAATCAAACAGCCACGCAAAGGAATTGGCAGTCTCGTCATACATCAATGCTAGTTCAAAGACAGCAGTCTCCCTATGATGATTCAAACCGAGAAAAGCCATAAAAGGACGATTACTTTGGACGAGCTTGTATGTCGTGTCGAATGTGACGATGTCTCCAAAATACCCATAGTCAATTATCATTCTCGAATCTGCCCAGAAGATATTAGTTATCATTTCATCGCTATCCAACTGCATGGTGTGAAAAAATGAAGGATTCTCACAAGATTGAATTTTGAAATAATTCATCAGCCATGTCTTCTCTCCGTATTCTAACTCACTCTGTCTCTTGTCCTTAGAAAATTTTGTTGATCAACTTTGGTGTAGCCAATTGATTGCCTCCCACCAGCCTGCCTGCTCATTGACTCAAATGCATTACCGAGTGGAACTCCAGATTCGCAGGCCAATTCCACATCAATTGCTTGGGCAACACTTATTCTTCGTTGTGATGGCATCATATGTGTGCATTCTTCAATTATCATAGGATGATTGTGAGATTCGACAAAATTATATACAACATACTTTCCCTTCTTGCGGTCATATCTAATTTGCATCAGTACACTACAACTGGTTCGAGTTTCAGCCCTGGGCTTTCTTGTATGGATATCCCTCTTGTCCTTCACCCTAAAACCTTGTTTGGAACACACAAACTTGCTTATTGTAATATTTCCTGTCTTACGGCTTTTATTTGCATAATCCTTACGAATACTGAATCCAACTTTACCCCCATAAGCATTATAAAAGTCGTATGCTTCATCCTCAGTGTCAAACTGCATGTTCAATTTTGGTGTGAATTCTATGTCAATGGGATTGACAACTTCTGCTACTAAGTTTTCAGAAATATTGATTTCGGCAACGATTGCAACGCTTGTTTTCACATCATTAATACTTAAGTCATTATCCATTGGGATAACTTCAGTATGAATGCTACAACAAGCAAAAGGTCCATCAAAACGTTAAAGTCAGTTTCTATAACTTGTGACAACAAAAAATATATACTAAATATTTACCGAACTAATGAAAAGGGCTAAAAAATCGTACAATTAACCAAGATTTCAGATACACTAGAATGCTTAACCAAAGTCAATTTCAAGAAGAAAAAAAAAATAACATAATTTAAACGAACTGATGACAAATGAAAGAATTAAAAAAATTTAACTTTAGGTGTGAAATTAGTTTTGCAGAGGTGTGAAATTAGTTTGCAGAATTGTGTTAATTGCTTATTTTGATGGTGAAGGTGATCAGTGTCCCTACTTATTAAACTTTAAAATGTTCTTTTCCTCATAAATATCACATAATAACCTGTGAAATGCGTAATTGCCTCATACATGAGAAGACAAAATATTTGGATAACACATTGGTACCTAATGAAGCCGACTCAGTTAAAAAAAAAAAAAAAAACAATTATGGAAGATTTTACATTCACTAGAATAGTTATTGAATATTATAAAAGAAAATCCTACAATTATCCAGGATTTCAAATGCCCTAGAATGCTTAACCAATGCCAATTTCAAGTAAAAAAAATCATAATTTACACTAACGGACGACAAATGAAAGAATTAAAAAATGTTAAATTTAGGTGTGAAATTAGTTTTGAAGAACGGTGTAAATAGTTTATTTTGATGGTGAAGGTGATCAGTGTCCCTACTCATTAAACTTCACAATGTATTTTTTCTCAAAAATGTGACATAATAACCTGTGAAAGTGTAATTGAAGACAAAATATTTGGATAACACATTAGTACCTAATGAAGCTAACTCAGTTAAAAAAAACAATTATGTAAGATTTTACATTCACTAGAATGGTTATTGAAGATTATAGAAGAAAATCCTATAATTATCCAAGATTTCAAATACGCTAGAATGCTTAACCAATGCCAATTTCAAGTAAAAAAAATCATAATTTACACTAACGGATGACAAATGAAAGAATTAAAAAATGTTAAATTTAGGTGTGAAATTAGTTTTACAGAGGTGTGAAATTAGTTTGTTAGAACTGTGTGAATAGCTTATTTTGATGGTGAAGGTGATCAGTGTCCCTACTTATTAAACTTCACAATGTTTTTTTCCTCATAAATATCACATAATAACCTGTGAAATGCGTAATTGCCGCATACATGAGAAGACAAAATATTTGGATAACACATTGGTACCTAATGAAGCCAACTCAGTTTTAAAAAAACAATTATATAAGATTTTACATTCACTAGAATGGTTATTGAAGATTATAGAAGAAAATCCTACAATTATCCAACATTTCAAATACGCTAGAATGCTTAACCAATGTTAATTTCAAGTAGAAAAATATCATAATTTACACTAACAGATGACAAATGAAAGAATTAAAAAATGTTAAATTTAGGTGTGAAATTAGTTTTGCATAGGTGTGAAATTAGTTTTTCAGAACTGTGTAAATAGCTTATTTTGATGGTGAAGGTGATCAGTATTCCTACTTATTAAACTTCATAATGTTTTTTTCTTCATAAATATCACATAATAATCTGTGAAATATGTAATTGCCGCATACATGAGAAGACAAAATATTTGGATAACACATTGGTACCAAATGAAGCCAACTCAGTTAAAAAAAATAATTATGGAAGATTTTACATTCACTAGAATGGTTATTGAAGATTATAAAAGTAAATCCTACAATTATCCAAGATTTCAAATATACTGGAATGTTTAACCAATGTCAATTTCAATTAAAAAAATATCATAATTTACACTAACGGATGACAAATGAAAGAATTAAAAAATGTTAAATTTAGGTGTGAAATTAGTTTTACAGAGGTGTGTGAATAACTTATTTTGATGGTAAAGGTGATCAGTGTCCCTACTTATTAAACTTCACAATGTATTTTTTCTCATAAATGTGACATAATAAACTGTGAAATGTGTAATTGCCGCATACATGAGAAGACAAAATATTTGGATAACACATTGGTATCTAATAAAGCCAACTCAGTTAAAAAAAAATAATTATGGAAGATTTTACATTCACTAGAATGGTTATTAAAGATTATAGAAGAAAATCCTACAATTAACCAAGATTTCAAATACTCTAGAATGCTTAACTAATGTTAATTTCAAGTAAAAAAAATCAGAATTTACACTAACGGATGACAAATGAAAGAATTAAAAAATGTTAAATTTAGGCGTGAAATTAGTTTGGCAAAGGTGTGAAATTAGTTTTTTAGAACTGTGTAAATAACTTATTTTGATGGTGAAGGTGATCAGTGTCCCTACTTATTAAACTTCACAATGTATTTTTTCTCAGAAATGTGACATAATAACCTGTGAAATATGTAATTGCCGCATACATGAGAAGACAAAATATTAGGATAACACATTGATATCTAATGAAGCCAACTCAGTTAAAAAAACAATTATGGAAGATTTTACATTCACTAGAATGGTTATTGAAGATTATAGAAGAAAATCCTATAATTACCCAAGATTTCAAATACGCTAGAATGCTTAATCAATGCCAATTTCAAGTAAAAAGAATCATAATTTACACTAACGGATGATAAATGAAAGAATTAAAAAATGTTAAATTTAGGTGTGAATTAGTTTTGCAGAGATGTGAAATTAGTTTTGTAGAACTGTGTGAATAGCTTATTTTGAAGGTGAAGGTAATCAGTGTCCCTACTTATTAAACTTCACAATGTATTTTTTCTCAGAAATGTGACATAATAACCTGTGAAATGTGTAATTGCCGCATACATGAGAAGACAAAATATTTGGATAACACATTGGTATCTAAAGAAGCCAACTCAGTTAAAAAAAACAATTATGGAAGATTTTACATTCACTAGAATGATTATTGAAGATTATAGAAGAAAATTCTATAATTATCCAAGATTTCAAATACGCTACAATGCTTAACCAATGCCAATTTCAAGTAAAAATAATCATAATTTACACTGACGGATGACAAATGAAAGAATTAAAAAATGTTAAATTTATGTGTGAAATTAGTTTTGCAGAGGTGTGAAATTAGTTTTACAGAACTGTGTGAATAACTTATTTTGATGGTGAAGGTGATCAGTGTCCCTACTTATTAAACTTCACAATGTATTTTTTCTCATAAATGTGACATAATAACCTGTGAAATGTGTAATTGCCGCATACATGAAAAGACAAAATATTTGGATAACACATTGGTATCTAATGATGCCAACTCAGTTAAAAAAAAAAAATTATGGAAGATTTTAAATTCACTAGAATGGTTATTGAAAATTATAGAAGAAAATCCTAAAATTAACCAAGATTTCAAATACACTAGAATGCTTAACTAATGTCAATTTCAAGTAAAAAAAATCATAATTTACACTAATGGATGACAAATGAAAGAATTAAAAAATGTTAAATTTAGGTGTGAAATTAGTTTGGTAAAGGTATGAAATTAGTTTTTTAGAACTGTGTGAATAGCTTATTTTGATGGTGAAGGTGATCAGTGTCCCTACTTATTAAACTTCACAATGTATTTTTTCTCATAAATGTGACATAATAACATATGAAATGTGTAATTGCCACATACATGAGAAGACAAAATATTTGGATAACACATTGATATCTAATGAAGCCAACTCAGTTAAAAAAAAACAATTATGAAAGATTTTACATTCACTAGGATGGTTATTGAAGATTATAGAAGAAAATTCCATAATTAACCAAGATTTCAAATACGCTAGAATGCTTAACTACTGTCAATTTCAAGTAAAAGATATCATAATTTACACTAACGGATGACAAATGAAAGAATTAAAAAATGTTAAATTTAGGTGTGAAATTAGTTTTGCAGAGCTGTGTAAATAGTTTATTTTGATGGTGAAGGTGATCAGTGTCCCTACTTATTAAACTTCACAATGTATTTTTTCTCAGAAATGTGACATAATAACCTGTGAAATGTGTAATTGCCGCATACATGAGAAGACAAAATATTTGGATAACACATTGGTACCTAATGAAGCCAACTCAGTAAAAAAAAAAAAACAATTATGCAAGATTTTACATTCACTAGAATGGTTATTGAAAATTATAGAAGAAAATTCTACAATTATCGAAGATTTTAAATACGCTAGAATGCTTAACCAATGTCAATTTCAAGTAAAAAAATATCATAATTTACACTAACAGATGACAAATGAAAGAATTAAAAAATGTTAAATTTAGATGTGAAATTAGTTTTGTAGAGGTGTGAAATTAGTTTTACAGAACTGTGTGAATAGCTTATTTTGATGATGAAGGTGATCAGTGTCCTTACTTATTAAACTTCACAATCTTTTTTTCCTCATAAATATCACATAATAACCTGTGAAATGCGTAATTGCCGCATACATGAGAAGACAAAATATTTGGATAACACATTGGTACCTAATGAAGCCAACTCAGTTAAAAAAAAATAATTATGGAAGATTTTACATTCACTAGAATGGTTATTGAAGAATACAGAAGAAAATCCTACAATTATCCAATATTTCAAATACACTATAATGCTTAACTAATGTCAATTTCAAGTAAATAAATATTATAATTTACACTAACGGATGACAAATGAAAGAATTAAAAAATGTTAAATTTAGGTGTGAAATTAGTTTTGCAGAGGTGTGAAATTAGTTTTGTAGACCTCTGTGAATAGCTTATTTTGATGGTGAAGGTGATCAGTGTCCCTACTTATTAAACTTCACAATGTTTTTTTTCTCATAAATATCATATAATAACATGTGAAATGCGTAATTGCCGCATATATGAGAAGACAAAATATTTGGATAACACATTGGTACCTAATAAAGCCAACTCAGTTAAAAAAAAAAAAAAAAAATTTATGGAAGATTTTACATTCACTAGAATGGTTATTGAAGATTGTAGAAGAAAATCCTACAATTATCCAATATTTCAATTACGCTAGAATGCTTAACAAATGTCAATTTCAAGTAAAAAATATCATAATTTACACTAACAGATGACAAATGAAAGAACTAAAAAATGTTAACTTTAGGTGTGAAATTAGTTTTTCAGAACTGTGTGAATAGCTTATTTTGATGGTAAAGGTAATCAGTGTCCCTACTTATTAGACTTCATAATGTTTTTTTCCTCATAAATATCACATAATAACCTGTGAAATACGTAATTGTCGCATACATGAGAAGACAAAATATTTGTATAACACATTGGTACGTAATGAAGCCAATTCAGTTAAAAAAAAAAAAACAATTACGGAAGATTTTACATTCACTAGAATGGTTATTGAAGATTATTGAAGAAAATTTTACAATTATCCAAAGGTTCAAATACGCTAGAATGCTTAACCAATGTCAATTTCAAGTAAAAAAAAATCATAATTTATACTAACGGATGACAAATGAAAGAATTAAAAAATGTTAAATTTAGGTGTGATATTAGTTTTGCAGAGGTGTGAAATTAGTTTAGTAGAACTGTGTAAATAGCTTATTTTGATGGTGAAGATAATCAGTGTCCCTACTTATTAAACTTCACAATGTATTTTTTCTCATAAATGTCACATAATAATCTGTGAAATGTGTAATTGCCGCATACATGAGAAGAAAAAATATTTGGATAACAAATTGGTACCTAATGAAGCCAACTTAGTTAAAAAAAAAAAAACAATTATGTAAGATTTTACATTCACTAGAATGGTTATTGAAGATTATAGAAAAAAATCCTACAATTATCCAATATTTCAAATATGCTAGAATGCTTAACCAATGTCAATTTCAAGTAGAAAAATATCATAATTTACACTAACAGATGACAAATGAAAGAATTAAAAAATGTTAAATTTAGGTGTGAAATTAGTTTTTACAGAGGTGTGAAATTAGTTTTACAGAACTGTGTCAATAGCTTATTTTGATGGTGAAGGTGATCAGTGTCCCTACTTATTAAATTTCACAATGTTTTTTTCCTCATAAATATCACATAATAACTTGTGAAATGCGTAATTGCCGCATACATGAGAAGACAAAATATTTGGATAACACATTGGTACCTAATGAAGCCAACTCAGTTAAAAAAAAAATAATTATGGAAGATTTTACATTCACTAAAATGGTTATTGAAGATTATAGAAGAAAATCCTACAATTATCCAAGATTTCAAGTTCACTATAATGCTTAACCAATGTCAATTTCAAGTAAAAAAATTTCATAATTTACACTAACGGATGACAAATGAAAGAATTAAAAAATGTTGAATTTAGGTGTGAAATTAATTTTGCAAAGGTGTGAAATTAGTTTAGTAGAACTGTGTGAATAGCTTATTTTGATGGTGAATGTGATCAGTGTCCCTACTTATTAAACTTCACAATGTTTTTTTCCCCATAAATATCACATAATAACATGTGAAATGCGTAATTGCCGCTTACATGAGAAGACAAAATATTTGGATAACACATTGGTACCTAATGAAGCCAACTCAGTTAAAAAAAAAAACAATTATGTAAGATTTTACATTCACTAGAATGGTTATTGAAGATTATAGCAGAAAATCCTACAATTATCCAACATTTCAAATACGCTAGAATGCTTAACCAATGTTAATTTCAAGTAGAAAAATATCATAATTTACACTAACAGATAACAAATGAAAGAATTAAAAAATGTTAAATTTAGGTGTGAAATTAGTTTTGCATAGGTGTGAAATTAGTTTTTCAGAACTGTGTAAATAGCTTATTTTGATGGTGAAGGTGATCAGTGTCCCTACTTATTAAACTTCATAATGTTTTTTTCCTCATAAATATCACATAATAACCTGTGAAATATGTAATTGCCGCATACATGAGAAAACAAAATATTTGGATAACACATTGATACCAAATGAAGCCAACTCAGTTAAAAAAAAACAATTATGGAAGATTTTACATTCACTAGAATGGTTATTGAAGATTATAGAAGTAAATCTTACAATTATCCAAGATTTCAAATATACTGGAATGCTTAACCAATGTCAATTTCAATTAAAAAAAATATCATAATTTACACTAACGGATGACTAATGAAAGAATTAAAAAATGTTAAAATTAGGTGTGAAATTAGTTTTACAGAGGTGTGAAATTAGTTTTGTAGAACTGTGTGAATAACTTAATTTGAAGGTGAAGGTGATCAGTGTCCCTATTTATTAAACTTCACAGTGTTTTTTTTTTTTTTTCTCATAAATATCACATAATAACCTGTGAAATGTGTAATTGCCGCATACATGAGAAGACAAAATATTTGGATAACACATCGGTACCTAATGAAGCCAACTCAATTTAAAAAAACAATTATGGAAGATTTTACATTCACTAGAATGGTTATTAAAGATTATGGAAGAAAATCCAACAATTATCCAAGATTTCAAATACACTAAAATGCTTAACCATTGTCAATTTCAAGTTAAAAAATATCATAATTTACACTAACAGATGACAAATGAAAGAATTAAAAAATGTTAAATTTAGGTGTGAAATTAGTTTGGCAGAGTTATGAAATTAGTTTTGTAGAACTGTGTGAATAACTTAATTCGACGGTGAAGGTGATCAGTGTCCCTACTTATTAAACTTCACAATGTTTTTTTTTCTCATAAATGTCACATAATAACCTGTGAAATGTGTAATTGCCGCATATATGAGAAGACAAAATATTTGGATAACACATTGGTACCTAAAGAAGCCAACTCAGTTAAAAAAAAAAAATTATGGAAGATTTTACATTCACTAGAATGCTTATTTATAATTATAGAAGAAAACCCTACAATTAGCTAAGATTTCAGATTCACTATAATGCTTAACCAATGTCAATTTCAATAAAAAAATATCATAGTTTACACTAATAGATGACAAATAAAATAATCATAAATTCTTAAGTTTATGTGTGACATAAGTTAGTCTGTACTGTGTGAATAGCTTATTTTGATGGTGAAGGTGATCAGAGTTCCTATTTGTTAAACTTCGCAATTTTTTTTTCTTAGAAATATCAAATATTAACCTCTGAAATGTCTAATTGCCGCATGCATTTAATACCAATTTTTTTTTTATTACACATTCATACCTACTGAAGCCAATTCAGTTCTAAAAATCAATTATAGAAGATTTTACATTCATTACAATGATAGATCGATGACAAATGAAAGAATCATAAATTTTCTAAATCTACATTGTTCCGTTCAAAACAAAAATTTCACTGTAAATGAACAATATATTAAATGCACAATATTAATAAGACTTACCAACAATCAAGCATTAATTAGGTCAATTGTAGATACCACATCAGGTCCATTGTAGATTTCCTTCCTGTAGATGAATAGTTGACATTGCGTTGAGAAATCAGCACACTGCAATCTGGGTTTTGATTCAAAAAAGATTATAAAAAAAGTAAGAATAGAGGAGAGAGGAATTAGGGTTTCCAATAAAAAAGAAATTCAAAAGCAATATGTTTTTTTGATGGAACAAAGAGAGGAATAAGGGTTTGGATTAAAATGAAAAAGGAAGGAGGGAAATAACAAAAGCAAAAGGGAAGAAGGGGAAAGTGAAACTGCAGAAGGGCGGGGGCGGCAGCTTATTTCAACTTTCCTCTTTTTTTTTTTTTTTTTTTTTTATTGGCTTTACAGTTGGCACGTTAAGTTACTGTGCTGTTTGTGGACTTCTTTTTCTTGTGCCAAGCCAAACACGGCATTAAGCAGCTCACAGCAGGGGACTGTAGGGTAATTCACAGCAGGGGATTTGAGCCCTGGCCATTTTTGCTGTACGCACACTCTCATGTGTTGTATCCGTGTTCGGATTGGAAGTGTAATTTTTTTTATTTGGTTAGAATATAAATTTTTACATTTGTTTTTCTTTGAAAATCTTTAGCCTAAAAGTTTCTCTTCAAAGTATAAAATTCTAATTTCGACTAATGCTAAAAATAGATAAGTAAGAATTTAGGTAGCTCCATTAGAGGCATATATTGTATCTTCCGGTTCTTTTATGAGATTACCGGCATCTTAACGAATTTGTTCGCTAACAGAGAAAGAAGTGAGAGTTTGCCGGTGCAACGATTGGGGGAGGCCCAAGTGCTGTGTACCTGGTAACTCTTTATCATCGTTTCTTTTTCCAGTTTCTTTCAGTTCACGCCTTCTGCTATGTTCCTTTCCTTGTTTTCTCGCTAGTAGTCGGGGATAATAATGATGACAAAAAGAACCAAAATAATCAAAGGGAACCAGTAGTATGATAAGAAAAGAACTCGGCGACTGAAGCCAAATTTACTCACCAGAGTGTAACAGAGCAGGATTGTACATATGTTTGCCCATCACTGAATTGCCTTCTTGTGGAGCTGGCTTAGGTTAAGGTCAGGTTCAACAGACCTCACAAACATAAACCCTTCATTCTATTTCATAACTTGAGAGTTTACAGAAGGAGAGACTACAAATTTTTTTAAAGCTCCCCTCATAAGGAACGGAACTGGTCCATACGTTCTACATTTTATGATTCCCTGGCATATCAAGATCTATTACATCGATAAAGAGTTACCAGGTACAGCATTCAAGCTCTAGTTTTCAGATTCGGCTTCCTTTTTCTCTATCAGTTTGAGAAAGTTTTCAACTATCATCTTGCCTTCGGTGGTTATGATGCTTTCTGGATGGAACTGCACCCCCTGCATTTTCAAAGTTGAAGCAAATAAATAATCTTAAGTTCATCATAAATGAAACGAAAAGAATAAACCAGGACTCAGTTTTTTTTTTTGGTCCCGTCTTCAATGATTCTCAAATGTTAACTACTGAGTAGTTTAACATTGTTATTTCTTATAAACATCTAAACAGAGTACTTAATTCCATATTTTGCTGCATTTTGAATGGGATGATAAAAAGATGCAGAGCGAGAGTGAGGAACATTAATAATAGGAGGGCAAAATTCACATCAAACCATGAGGGCAGGAATGAGGTTTGCTAATGAAATAAAAGGGGTATTACATGTCCAAAAAAAAGGGTAGAACATGAAAAGTTATAGGCTCATCAATTACATTCTTATTTAGAAATTTCTTCACAATGAAGTACAGCAGTTGAAGCACATATAATCTCAGAACTTGCTAACTATATACCAAGAAGTGGTTTTGAATTAAACTGCCCCCTTATTGTCCAATTTGTGTGTATGATAGTGCATTAACTTACTATAATTCAAGACTATTATTAGATGACCCAGAAGTTGTCAACTCTTCATCACATAACACATTGGGAGAGCCTCTGTGGCTTAGGCCAATGCATCCTCAAGCAGCCATTACGAATTATAAGTCAAAAGGGAAAACATCAACATACCTGAACATGCTTATATATTTTGTGACGAGCAGCCATTACCAGTCCATCCTCCGTCCAGGCAGTTATCTCAAGCGCGTCATGAGGAAAACTCTCCTTTTCAATCACAAGGCTATGATATCGACCAGCAGTAAAAGGGCTGACAACAAATATACATATATTAGAACATATCATTCAATCAGTTAGTTACGTAAAATTTTATTTAAATTGGCCACATTAGTGAAAATTGAGGAGGTATTTGAGAATATAAACCAGATCACATGAAAAGGAGAATATTAAACCAACTGATTACTTAATTTTCCACTTAAGTACAAGGCAGAGCTTATAAAAAGAAAACAACAAAAGATCACAGAATTTTCAAATATAAGGAAATCTTGTCAGTTTGTCACCAAAGTACCAAAAAAATAACTTCAATATATTCATTTATTAAGATAACCGACTCCTAAGACAGCTGAGTGATACATAACAGATTTGATAAACCCTGATTAAAATTGGGAGATTTACAAAGAAGTCCTACTTTTGAAAAGTAGGAGTTGATGGTCTCATATTTTTTAAAGTAAGATTTCTTTGTAATTTTCTAATGAAATTTTACTGAACTAAAAATAAAAACCAATGATAATAAGGGAATAAAGTTCTCAACAATGCAATAAAAAAGTAAGCATGGGAGCCATTCTTCCCTCAACCCTACCAATGATATATAATGCAACCACTTAGGATAACAATCCTTTTCTCGTGAAACTCCACTAAAACTCATATCCTCCACTGATTAATTAATGATGTTCTGAGGCAGGATAGATAATGAGAATTTTCTTTTTTACATTTCTTTTTGTAAGTTAGACAATGAAATATTCCACAATCAAGAAAAAGAGAGAGTGAATACTGAGAAGTCAAAAAACAAGGTTTATGTCAAGTTGAGTACAAAAGACGAGGAAGAGTGATAAATACATAATTACATATGAACGAACATATATATACCTATAAATATAAGGTAGCTAGGAGAAGCAAGAGAAAATGTATAGTATTGAAACAATTACATTAAGGATGCAGATCAGAAGCTAAAAGAAAATGAGATTAAGAAGATGGAAGAGTTATTCTCATTACTTAATGGAAAAATCGTAAAGATTCACTTTAGCCTTTAGGAGAACATTTTCATTGAAAGTGATGGTGCTGATCTGAAAAAAAAAAAAAAAAAGGCTAATGAAAACAAAAAGATGGTATGAAAAACCTAATCAGGAAAAGAACTATTAAAAGAAAATGATGAAAACCAAAGTTGCACCATTTGAGCGAGGTCAACAATTTTTAAAAGACATGAAACCATGAATTTATTTTCTACATCTGGAATGTTCACCACATTATAAAAATAATTTTTAATTACTGAACTCACGTATGAATGAAAACTTGACAGTTAAAGGCTTTTCTATTTGAATATAACATTAAAACAAATAATATTTACAAACTAAATGCTGTAAAGTGAAAAGAACATACTTCGTTAAGCCTACAAACAATCCATCTTCACCGCCCTCATTGTAGTATACAAGAGAACTTTTTCCATGCATAACACCAGTAGGAGCACGCACAATCTTCCCTGCAAAAACAATCACAAAAAGTTACATTAAATTATAACCACAAGCAAGAAGCTTGAATAGTAACCCAGAAAAGGAATGTTTATGCGCGCGCGTGTATATATACACAGATATGTATAACCTTATAATACATTTTCTCAATCCTACAGCAAATATAAATCAAGATTCTATAACTAAGAGTTTTGATGAACTCATTGAAGCCTTCTTCCACGTATTTATGATTTGTTGAACAAATCACCAATCACAATTTTGCCCTGTCAGTCCAATCAAAGGTCGGTACAAGTTTTCTTACAGCTTTAACCCACATTCTTTAACCTTATCTTCGTTATCGCAATGCCTTCTACTAGAATAGTATCACTCAAAATTAATGACATTGAACCTTTATTGCAGAGAATCAAATCACCACCAACTCTCTCTTAACAATAGTGTATCCCATAAATAATTCTCCTACACTTCTTCTATTGATTTTGATGACAAAAGCGTGTTTCAAACTTTTGCCTCGTCATCCAACAGAAGCATATTCAAATCTTACTGATAGACCATCCTCTTGAGAGAACAAGAGAAGACAAAGGATTTTAGGTCACTTCATTTTACATTTTATTTCAAAGAGCATCCAATTGTAAATGACTTTGTGCTGACAAGATCCATGGAAGAACACAGATTTTGTTCAATAGTGCTCATCATATCAGTAAAGGACTTCTCCTTGGTATCCTTTTTACCGCTCCATAATATTTCAATTGTTTGCTCACTAAACTGATTTTTAGGATATTCAATCTTTAATCTTGTTCGTACTTCCCTTGATCTTGTCTCTCTCTATGTTTCAATTGTTACTTTATATTGCAATATATAAGCCAAACAATTTGAAAATCACCTAAAAAACCTACAGATTGATAGAAGATTTATTAATCTGTTCATGAGCATCAATTTCAGTGGCGCTAGTTCGTGCACCAGAGCAGTCACTTTGTGAAAACGCTAGTGGAGCCTCACAGTAGCCACTTTGTGACATCAAGAACTTGGTCTGTCTCAAGTCCTCCCTCCCCATGACTCTGTTGTAATGGGACTAGAACTACTTAATGTGCCTATTAATAAAAGATTTGTCAGCATAGAGGATTTTTTCTTTAGAAGAAAGAATGAATTATCTCAATTACGTATGGACCAATTTTATGTAATATTTTTTAATTAACAATTTCGAGAAAATTTTGAGGAGCTCCTTCCTTTAATAACCATCTATATAGAGAGAAATTTATATGTTAAAAAATTAAATGTTTTCATATGAACATTGTACGTGGTCATGAGAAAATCTCGTTTCAGAATTGGCATCTGGCTGGAGGTACATATTAAATGTTTATATTACATATCACATTTTACTGTGGTCATTTATCTGTTCGCTTATCTATTTGCTGTTCTTCTCACAGCATCACCTGAGAAGTAATTATTTAAAGATCATCATACTGGGGGTAGATATTTGACAATTTTTAGTAATATGTGCATAATCTGAGAGTTTACCATTTTGTATTACTTTCTATTGCTTTTGTTACTACATATACCAGCCATTTAATATGGAACACTGAATACGTCAAGCCGGTATACTCCATTCCAATTAAAAATATATATATATACTAAATATCAATTCAATGATTCCAATCCAAACTCACAAATTTGATCAAAATCAACTCACCTCCAAAAGCCTCTCCCATGCATTGTAACCCCATACACACACCAAATAATGGTATAGTGGGTCCAAGTTCCAAAACAGTTTGCAATGATATTCCAGAATCTTGAGGTGTACCTATAATAAAAGAGAAAACATGATGTATAAAATTTCACTATGATTAAATATATACAAGACAAATGAAATAGTTTACCAGGTCCTGGGGATATGAGTATTCCTCTTGGATTTTTCCTAAAATAAAGCAGAAAAAGAAACATACATTCAGACAACAGTCACATAAATTACAACAAGAGAAAAATATTATAAAACAAATCCCTCACCACCCAAAATGCAAAAATCAGTAAACATAACTTTTTGAACTAAAAATTAAAATTCTTACCTTCTCAATTCATCGACAGTAAGCTCATCATTTCGGTAGACCTCAAAGTTACAGCCCAGTTCTCCCATATACTTTGGAACACAAAGACAGGGTATTAGCATGATATTCTACCTATTGAAGCATCAGAATCATGAACAACAACTCACAAAGTAAATACATTTCATCATCTAATAAATTCATCTTCTAAATAATATGGGATTACTACAAAATAATAATGCTGTTTAATTCAAAAAATGCACGGAGAAGATTACGGCAATAGTCAAGGGGCAAACAGGGAAAGGATGTAGAAAATTTTTATGGAAAAAGAGCAAATTTGCAAACACCTTTGTTCCTTTCCTGCAAAATCTCTCACAACCTTGTTGTCTTCTAAATAAGTCTTTTTAAGGTAACACGCGAGACATTTTAATTGTCTTCCAAAACATTTTCCTCTCAAATTCTCTCTCTTCATTCAAAAGAAAGGAGCAAGAATAATTTTAATCAAAATATCTTTCTCCCAACATACCTCAAACTAATAGAGATAACCTATGAAATGATATCAATTTCCCATTTTCAAATCTTACTTACCAAAGAGAAAAATATATATCAATTTCTCATTTGAATCATTACTAACAAATTGTTGAAAGATGCCCTCTGATGATCAAAAAAGTTTTCCCACCAAAATGATAATGCAAAAGACTTCCACCGTTTTGGCATAACATTATTACCACACCCAATTGTTGATATACCATAAGAAAGGAATACAAATGAGCAAACTCATTTAGATTATTATAAGAAAACATGAAAAACCAGTATCAATTTATTTTTTTCCCCGGTATGGTGAATTAATTTCTATAGATGAAGAATAATCAGTTGTACAAACAAGGCAAAAGCCACAAGGCCTTCAGAAGGCCAAGACAAAAGGACAACTAAAACAAGGCGCATACACTCCAATAAAAATAGGTCCAAACAGGCACAGCCAAAGAATAACTACAAATCCAATCACAAGCCCAAGCCCAGTGGAGCAAAAGAAGAGGAACAATGGCATAAGAGATTTAGTCACCAGTCTGAAATGCATAAGAGATCTATTCCTTTTCCTTTTTATCCTCTAAATTCAATTAAAAACGAAAAGTTCTGTAACTTAGTCTGGAATTTGCACTCTGATTGAAATTCTTTGAATAGTGGTAACTTAATATAATCAAAGGACCAAATTCCAAAATGAATAAAACCGACTAATTAATTTAGAATAGAAGCCTAGTCATTGTATAGCTTTACAAGTACATCGATAAAGTGATCTGGTATAAAATGGGGGGTTCATGCAAAATCGTGGATTGAATGCTAAATAGGTGGATTCTCAAGGTATACCTTGATTTGAAAAGCTTTACCTAATATCTCTTCTCTAATGCATTCGCTAAAGAAATGGAAACAAGGTTTAATAAATGAAGCTACGTTGTCCTCTATTTGCGGATGAATGTTTAACATGTATGGACTTAAAATCCCAAAAAGAAAAACCAATTCTACAATTTGAAAGCCTAAAAAAAAAATAGCAAAAATGGAAGTGCATTGGAATGTGATACGGCAAAGGCACTCACCCTTGAGGTTCAAGGTTTTGGAGCATTTAAAAAGCATCTATACTTACAAACAAACACATAAGTACACACGCACAAATACATTTAAATATACATGTATTATCGTGTCACTGAGCATGATAGAATTAAATTTTTATAAAAAAATCATAGAAAAATAATTTTGATTAACATACTTTGAATATGAATTGTAGGAGAGGAATTTTCAGTATTGTATGTGAAAGAAAATTGTAACCATGTTCTTTAATTGCTTTGCTAATTAGGCGAGAAACCAGCAAGGGCTTTGTGACCTAGTGGTATCTCCTCTGCCTTCCAAAGTGGATGGTGAGGGTTCAAGTTCCATGAGTGTGAGTTTATTGCCGATGAAAAAATAAATAAATAAATTATTTATTGCTTTGCTTCTATGTTGTTTCAATTTCCAGAAACATTAAAAATGGAATAAATTTTAAAAAATAATAATAACAACTTCAACTAAGCCAAAAATAATAATAAAACAGATCTTTTTACAAGCGTGAAATTTTATAAGTAGTTCAATTTTAAATGGATCTAAATTAATCAGTGATCAAGATGCTTTTTTTTTTTTTTTTCAAATGTTATCTATCCTTCCTTGATATTTCAAATGGCATTTTTTTCCTACCAGTCTTCTTATCAACTTAAACTTGTTAACTAGTATTTTTTTTTTTTTTGTTGATGATGTCTCCAATTTCTAAAAAAAAAAAAATTTTAATTAAAAAATGAAGAAATTTTAAAAGAATTAACTTCAACTAAGCCCAAAACGTACTATGAAACACATTTTGCGATACATGCAATGAAAATCTGATTACCAAAATTATAAATTTGATATCTTTCCTGCATTTTCTCAACATGCAAACAAAGAGAACATAAAACGAAGGTAGACGAAAAGAAGAAATCAAACCTGGCACAGATTATAAGTGAAGCTATCGTAGTTGTCGATGACGATGATAGGAGCGGTTGTCTTCTTTTCCGACTCGACGGGACACGCAGAAGCATTGTCGGAGACAGCCAAGGGCATTTTGGGGAAAAAAGCACATCCAGCACGAAGCAGAGATGAGCCGCCGCGAAAGGGCTTATGTGTGTGAAGAGAGAGAAGGGAAGGAGGGTTTGGGGTCTTGAGAGAAAGTGAGGGTTTGACTACGCCATGGAGGAGGAGTGAGGACTGAGAGAGACTAGCGACGGCCATGGTTTAGGTCTTTGGATTGAACGGAGGAGAGAAAGAGAGAGGAGAATGCGTTTGGAGAGAGGCACTAAAGCATACATATATATACTTATGTATGTATATTTGTAGCATTGGCGACTACACGGACATGTGGAGCTTCGCTGTCAGAGCGATTGCTGGAACGACCGAACCCTTTCTATACGGGCCGCTTCAACAGTGAAGAGAGAGAGAGTGAGGGAGAGAGAATAGTACATTGAATTTTCAATTAATAATAGGGAATTTTGTTGGGTCAATAAATACTTAATACAAATTTTTATTTAAAGAAAATGATAGAAGTATTGATGGATTTTTCTTATGATGTGAGAATTACTTAGATAAATACTCTTTTCGTCTTATAAAAAATAATACTTTTGAAGAACCGTGACTTTTAAAAATTCAACGGTCACGTTTCCTTCATAAACGGCACTTTTTTTTTTAAGACTAAAATAGTACGTGATATGACTATATTATTATGGGTACAACTAATTTTTTCCTTGTCCAAAAAAATTATATACATATAAATGAAATGTCTAACAAAAAGTCTTTGTCTTTCATTTATGAAGGTTCTAAAATAATTATCTTAATTTAAAATTGAATGTATTATTTTTAATATTATTTATATTCTTTATTTTAAAATTATAAAAGTAGGCGGACCATATATTAAAAAAATTTATTCTTTACTAATATTTACTATAATAGAAAAATTATAAGCGTTATACTCTTAAAATTTTTGAGAGGATTCGGATTTAATATGTATAATTAAATGGGCAACATCAGAATGTATACAAGCACAAAATTTAGGTCGACTCAATAATAAGACAGAATTAATGACTCACAAGTACTTTCATGTTTCTTCCATGTTTAATAGTTTCCCTTCATTCGCATTGATTTTTTTTTCCTTTTTTAATACCCTTCTTTTGGTTCGCATTTATTTGAATGTTTTTGCCCAATAACACAATAAATGTTTGTTTTTTTGGATAATTAATAACACAATAAATGTTGATGGAAAGTAAGTCACACTTTCTCTTGACATTGCTCAACCAAATTGTATGATCGAAGAGCTCAATCTAATTTAAGAATTAGAGGAATGATAAGGACAGTCGCTTCACAGCCTCTTATCTCATTGCCTACTTTAAATCTCATTAATTACTCTTTTTTTATTATCAAGGAACGTGAAATATTTAACTACTTTAAAACAAAACTTACCTTTAAAAAACAAAATTAACCTTTAAATTTTTTTCCATTACTTTTCTTGTATCTCCTCCCTCAATTCATATACGTGTAGTATATATATATTTTTTACCGCCTTTATTTCTTTCCTTTTTATTTCAATTGTCGCCACTAGTTAATTATTTCCTTCTTTTTTTTCTTTATTTCCCTTTTTTTTTTCTAAATTGTTGCCATTAAACCAAATTGTTATTAAATTTTAACCCAGAACAAATAAGAACAGGGGAATGTTCACCAAATTTAGAAAAAAATTTAAGAACAAGAGAATGTTCACCAAATTTGTTATTAAACCGAAACAATTTAGAAAAAAATAAGAAAAAAAAAATGAATTGAGGGTATACTAAAAAATATGATGGCCTTATAAAAAAGAATATATTCATTATAAAAAATTTATTTCAATTGTGGCCCTGTTCTTAAATTTTTTTCTAAATTTGGTGAACATTCCCCTATTCTTATTTGTTCTGGTTTAAAAAAAAAAAAAATGAAAAGAATGAAGGAAAAAAGGCTAATGGCAACAATTTAGAAAAAAAGGGAAATAAAGAAAAAAAGAAGGAAATAATTAACTAGTGGCTACAATTGAAATAAAAAGGAAAGAAATAAAGGTAGTAAAATATATATATATACTACACGTATATGGATTGAGGGAGGAGATATAAGAAAGATAATGAAAAATGATTTAAATGGTAGTTTTGTCTTTTAAAGGTAAGTTTTGTTTTAAAGTATGTTAAATATTTTACGTTTCCTTGAGAATAGAAAAAAAGTAATTAATGAGATTTAAAGTAACCAATGAGATTAGCGACTGTGAAATGATAGTTGCTTGACCTTAGCATTCCTCTATGAATTAATATATTTTTTTTAAATGCAGAAAGTAGACACTTGTTACTCATTCTAAAGTTTACGGAAGACACTAATACACTGAGATATTGAGGCATGTGCAATTTACGAATTAATTAAGAAGGCGTATTTAATTATTCTAACAAATATTAACACATTTTTATGCAAACAATTCTTATGGGTAAAGTTTAACCAAAGCCGGCAACGTTTTACGTGTGTGTGATACAAGAGAACATTGGAAATAATAATTTATATCCACTAAGAGTAACATTGCAAAACAAATTTGAAGGTAAATTACATTGATCTCCCTTGAGGATTAGGCAAATTATAAATCGTTATTATGTTGACACATTTAAGATTTGGTGCATGCCTTCAATGACACCCCTAGAGGCAGGCTTGTTAACCTCCCTTTTATAAAATATTAAATAATATGAGTATATTATTATAATATAAGGGTATTGCTGATTTTTCATACTAAAAGTCACTTTTTGGAATGGGCAACTAGGTTTAAGAAAACTCAAACTAATAAACGTTGAACGATCTATCAGTGTATAATTTGCTAAACATGAAGGAAGGTCAATGTAATTTGTCCAAATGTAAAAAATATATATCGAGAAAAAGGAAAGAAAAATTGTTATCTTTTCAACTGGGATAACTTGACTTTTGTTTGTCTTTTTTTTCCTTGGATAATCTGAATTGACTTCGGTTGTAAATTCGGGTACTTCCATTTCATTTTCTTTTCTTTTTTTATCAGGGCAAAAACAGGGGGAAAAAATACAAAAACAACAAGACATATCCTCCAGCAAAGCTTCTCCACAGAAGCAGGAACAAAGGACCAGACTGGCTCAAAAAAATTTGGAAAGGAGAGACCATCGACATACTTCATAAGCCACCCGATTACGGTGTCTTGGGAGTTGGGACCCAATTCAACGAGAAATCTTCTCGATGCTGAAGAAGAACCTTGATATCGCAAATAAATGAGGCTAAAGCTTCTTCTTATATGCAAAAATTCATAATTGGTTGACAATCACCTTCAAAAATAATTCTAGGCTAGCCAGCCTAGCTGTGGGGGCAAAAATCTCCCCTTCCAATTAAGACAAGACACATCATCACATAAGGGGACCACCACAAATACTGAGACTATTCAACTTTCATATTGGGCTTCTACAAGAAGCTTGGGCCGGGTCAACTAATCATAATGGGTTGAACTCATTAAAAAAGTCCGAGATGATGAGACCCTGAGCCCATGTACGAATATATTACTAAACCCATTTTCGTAATAGTTCTATTAGAAGAAAAATTATAATTTATGGAAACTAAATAATATAAATTCTTGTTATAAGGAAAGTATGATGTAATTCAGATTCTTAAGGGACAAGCAATGCGAGTCCTAAAAGGAATCCATTAAGGTTTTTTCCTATATAAAAATGGCTCAAGACCCTCAATGGGGGACACAGAGAAAAAAAGGCAAAGCCCCCAAAAATAGAGATCCAATTCTCATTACTAGAACTACGTTCCAACCTGCTTCCCAAGCTCCATGCGGGATACGTAGGCAATCTAGGTAATCCTAGATTTGGTCATATTATCAAAATACCCCCTCATCTCTCTATAATTTCTCTAGTTCATTGTTTGTTCTAAATTATTATTTTGGGTGTAGTAATTGTAGAGAATTCGTTGACTTGTCAAAGTTGAGCGAATTTTTGCATCTACACTAGCCCTATTGTAGACAACCTTGAATAGTCGCTTAAAGGGAAAGTCCTTTAGCTACCTCTGGTGAAGAAACATCTTGAAAAAACCAAGAGTCCAATCTAAGAACTTGCCCTTCATGATTTTTAACAACATAGCCACCCCCACATAATTTTGAAGAAGAACAAAACGTTGCATCAACATTCACTTTAACAAGATCATAAGGAAGAAGGCTCCGCTGGTGACTTTGAAGCAAAGCATGATGGGGAATAAGGAATAACAATTTATTTTGTCTCTGGACTTCATAAAATTCATGATAGTCATATACTGCATTTTCAACCAGAGTTTGAGGATCCACCATTTTGAACGAGAAAACACTGTTGTTTCTATTCTTCCACAAATGCCATCAAATGTATGCAGCTAGACTTGCACATTCCATATAACTGTCACCATTCTTCCAGAGTTCAACCAAGGCAAGCCATCTCATCTGCCAAATTGTTGAATTGGACTTTGAAAAATCCAAATGCAAATGACTTAGTTTTCAAACCCTTTGAGCAAAACTGCAGTAACACAAAAGATAATCCATTATTTTCTCTACTTGACCACAAATTTTACACATAACCTCTGTTTTAATTTTCCTTTTCTTCAAGTTGTAATTGACTGCAATTTTTTCATGGACACATATTGTCATATGAAGAACTGCACCTTCTTGGTAGTTTGCAAACTCCATATCTCTTTCCATTTTTTTTTCCCCAACTGAGATGTATAGCTGCAACCCTCCCCTTAAGGTGAAAAAGTATGAATTAAAGTTTTCATCACTTTTAAGGCTAAAAAGTAAGCACTTTTGACTGTAAACTTCCCATCAACAGTCAAACCCTAAATTTTTGTGTCCTAAGTATCTTCTAAAGATATAGGAATTTGGAGAATTCTTTCTCCGTCAAGATGGGTGAAAGAATTTAACACCAATTCGCGCTTCCAACTTCTAGTGTTACAGTCTATAAGAACTCCCACCAGTTGAATATCATTACCATGGGGGAGGGATGACACATTGAAATTCTTTTTCCCTGGTAACTAAGGGTCTTTCCACACATTAATTGATTTGTCATTCCCAATCTGACATTTCATACCTTTTTAAATCACTTCTTTTGTAGCTGCCAGATTTCTCCATAACCATGAGCATCCAGCATTACATGGAGAATCAATAAAATTACATTTGTGAAAAAATCTCTCTTTGAAAATCTTAAAAAGTATGGAATCATCACCCATTTCAAGACGCCAAACCATTTTCGCTAGCAACACAACATTAAAAGCTTCTAGGTCACGAAATCCTAATTCTCCCTCTTTTTTATGCTCACATAATTTTTGATAGCTAGCCCAATGAATCTTATTGGAATCAATCTTGCTGCCCCACCAAATTTCATTATCTTACTTTTAAGAAAATCCAGAGTTGAGAGAGGAATCTTAAAACA